GAATTTAAAATTGGGCCAAAGCCCCAAAAAAACGAAAAATCACATTGAGAAAATAATTTTTCCTTGTTCCTTAAAAAAATAACATACCGTTACTTAATGGCAAAAATGAAGGGACGATATATTAAATTTAATTTTTTTAAAAAAAAGATAAAAGACTAATTGCTAGACAGGTGGAGTAAACATCCTTTGAGTACCCAAAGAGAATACATATTTCGTTTAAAACACTACATACTTAAGGTGAACTAAGTATATACTTAATATCAACAAAAAACAACTTGCAGTTCCCTTTTTTTAAAAAGAAAGGAACAAATTAACATGCCACGATATAGGAAGCAGCTGCCCAAACATTAATTGTTCGCTCATTATTCAATAACACAATATTCATGAAAGATCCATATACATTTTTCCTACAATTTTAACATCACTTCATTTTTAAGCAAATATCTATATGTCATAGTCAAATATTTAAAGATAAATTCCCTTATACTTGCGTTTTATATTCGGATGAATTTATAGCGCGTTTTATTGAATATACAATAAAATTTAATGTAAATAACTTTGAGAATTTTTCAGCATGTTTGAATAATTTAGCTGTATATAAGTAATAGACAGACAAAAAGACGCGGGCACACATTTGAACCAAAACATTACATTTTACTTTCAAATCTAAGACAAGCATACTGATTGTAAACTTCAATTTAAAAAATGGAAATAAATCATTTCGTACCGTGTAATTGTCTTTATCTTTATTTAAACATTTCAAGGTGATTTGGTTAATTAAACGCTTCTTTTTTACCAATCTACATATACTTCAAAGAATGCAAATATGAATTTGACGTAAGCTTTTTAATACGAATGACCATTGGTGACATTTCAACTTCTTAAATTTTATTGAAATTCAGTTGTTGCAACTGAACAGTATAATCTATTTTTGATTATTTAGCTAGTCATAATTGTATTCTTTTTATGTGATATTAGTTGATTTTTGACCGTTTTTTCTGTTCATTTTTTTTTTGTAATAACCAGTTGGAAAAACTGAAACTAAATTCTCGGGTTCATCTTCACGAATTCACGAATTCATGTTTTTAACTCAGACAAAGAGACAAATGAAGTAATGGACAAATCATTAAAAAGTTAAATTAGAGACATGATTTGCGTGTGAACCATGGACAATATCACTGTGTTAAATATAGCCGCGTCACGACAAAACCAGCATAGTGCGTTTGCGACCAGCATGGATCAAGACCAGCCTGCGCATCCGCGCAGTCTGATCAGGATCCATGCTGTTCGCTTACCAATTCTATTACAAGTAAAGAAACTGATAGCGAACAGCATGGATCCTGATCGGACTGCGCGGATGAGCAGGCTGGTCTGGATCCATGCTGGTCGCAAACCCATTATGTTGGTTTTGTCGTGATGCGGCTCAATTGTCTGTGATATTTTGACCAGTTTGAGCTATATTGTGATGAGGAAGTTAAAATATGAGAAAAAAATCATAATTATCAATTCATTTTTTACCAACGTGTTAATAATGTTAAATTCAATGTTTGAAGGGTAAAAGATAAATATATCTAAGCGGTGAGAATAAATATATTTAAGAGGTGAGAATAAATATATATGAATGGTGAATAAAGGTAATTATATACAAAGCTGGTAAGAATTTCAAGGCCAGTTAATAAAACAGCACTTTTTAATCCTTTTTTCTCTTTATGCGTTTACAAAAACACATGAAATAAGATACTAAATGAAACATGTCAATGGTTATTAAAAATATATATTTGAAGTCATTATTGACCCCCAGCCGCGATGAGCCTTACCAATGAGTTTTAAATGTTGATTAAACCCACTTCCGCCTTAAGTCACTAATTGGCCAAATACCTGAATAATATTTTCCTGTAACTGCGTTTTTTGGCATTTAGTTCAGCTATATCAGTGATTCAGTATATTTTGTATGGAAGTCAAAATTATCAAATGTTTACATTTTGCTTCTTTAATGACAAATAATTTGAGTGCTACCTTCTTCAATCGATAAGCTGCAAAAAAGCTCTTGAACCAATATTCCCTTTTTTTGAAGAAAGATAAATCGTATCTGAGGTGTAATGTTAAAGCAACACGCCTGCAGATTCATGCTAATTATCATGAATTATTTTAAGTCTATTTAAAAGTAAAATATTGTGAACACGGCACTAACAGTCCACGCAAATAACCAAAAAGTTGTCAAATTATGAAAAATTAGCCCTTAAAGCGTTAGTAACGCAGTAGAATTATGATGATAAATACTGCACAATAGGTCCCTAATCGCAAATATTATTTAAATTATTACTTAAATCTTGAATCTTTCTGCTTTTCTTAAAGTCTTAGGACAAATTCTCAAGTTTGATTTTTTTAAAGAATTATTTTGCCCATCAGGAGGCGTCCAGCTTTAATGAAAAACGATAATTGAATACGAAGAAATACAAAGATAAGAATTTCATCGAAAAATGAAAATTAAACTTTACTATCTACCTCACAGTGATAAATCCAGTTCAAAGAATGAAAACAGAATATGAAAATTAACTTTCTTATTTCCGTGTTGATGGATGGATTTCAAATAAATTACATGATTCAGTGAATTTTATATGAATAAACTATTCATGTAACGCATATAAATTGCATGCAAAATGTCTTAAACGTGACTGAGCGTTAACGCACGTTCTAACGCCGTTTTTACGTCGTCAAACAATTAAAAGCGGTAATTTATGCATGGTTTCCCACAATGTAAAATTGATAAATTATATTGACTTGAATGTCAAATCCATTAATAAATTATTTAAATATACGTCAAAGTAATGAAGATTTTCCTTTATGCAGTTATATGTAATGTTGTTTTTGTTTATATAAAAAAAAACAAAGCATAAATACAATTATGTTATTGGTTATAAAGATTTAGATTTTTGACTTGTTATATGGTCCAATATGAACGTTTGTAAAGTTATATGACCTCAGCTTCTAGAAAAATGTAAATGAAGAATTTATAAAACATTTACTTTAGTACAACTCTTTTTTGTATCTTTTTTCTGATTACAGTAGCTGTGAATATAGAGAATATATTTGTCAAATGAAAACCTTTATACTGTTCCTATAACACAAGTTTTCTTATTATTTTCTTTTTTTTTTCTCACTCTAATGATGTAATAGTATTTCGGAATGTCGGGATCATTGATTCCTTCACATTTAGTGTTGAAGAATGAAATTTAAGTTCTTTCCCACTACAGTGTAGTAATAGTCGTTTAGGATTCACCTATTTCAGCACATTTAGTGTGGAAAGATTGAATACTACTGAAGCCGGTGTGGAGGGGGGGGGGGGTATGTGAAAAGTTGAACATATATTTTATCTCTCATGAACAGACAAAATGAAACAGGGTCTGCAATTTTCATTTTTTTTTTGTTATTTTCAGTAGTTCAGTAGTTCCGAGGGATCTAACCTTTTTTCATTTTTTAGTGAAAAATATTTTATAATTTTATAAAAGCAGTTTAAATAAACGTCACGTATTAAATGAAAGTCGTTGTGAGAAACGGACAGTATTATTTTAACAATTATAAGAAATAAAATTTTCATAATTTAGTTATCACAGTATATAAACAAATCTACTTCCTGTTATCGCAAGTAAGGTAACAGGTTAAAATATATAGGCTCCCAAGTGGAAGTCGCGTGTGTATTACTCGCAATAAAGGGTACACATTGAATTATATATGCTCACAAGACAGGATACAGTGAATTTGTTTATATACTGTGGCTATGATACATAAATTGATGAATAGTTCATTAATTTGAAAAATACATATTGTCAACACACCTTTATTATAAACAGGATAAGGTATTTTACATGAAAACAATTTGATAATTTAAGTTACACGTCCTCTGTTGCTGATATTATGGTTAATAGGGAAACACTGACCACCAAATAGGACATGGCATCTTAAACATAGAAATATAAGTACATACAAACTTAAAAGTTTCTTAAAGTAAGCTCACAAATAAATATATAATCTTCATAGTTCATATATAATGTACTAAATTTTGTAGATAAGAAATCGTAGTCTACAAGGCACATCTTATCTCTTGTTTTTTTGTGGGGCGTATAATTTTAGATATGACTTCTGATTAAGCCGGTGCTAGAGTGCTAAGATGGTCGCCCATGAACTGGTTCAGTCAAACTGGGCCTGAAGCATTTTTATGTTTCCTTGTAGGGCAAGCTTTAAGATTCCTATTTCATCTATTTTAGGGGAATTGTGTAAGAAGAAAGAGCATTTTAAACCGTATACAAATGTATATTTATAATCAAGAGGAAATATTTACAAATATATATAACCAAATGTTAAAAAGCTCATATCAGGAATAATAGAAACTTGCAACCAGTAGATCATAAAAATGGCAGTCATGGTGCAAGTGTCTATTTGAATGTAACGATCATGGGTTGTGGTCGTTTAGGTAGTCTAACCGCCAAAAAATCTAACATCGGTCAATATCGTAATAAATCGGTCATTTCCGGAACGTTATTTTTTCACAATCTTCGGAATTCAATAATTTTTAACTGTTTATTACCGGAATTTAGTACATAGCGTAAAAGGATTATAGTGACTGAAAATAATCTAATGCCCAAGATATTGAAAAATAACGTTCCGGAAATAACCGATTTGCTATGATATTGGCCGATGTTAGAATTTTTGGCGGGAAAGCATTACACTTAGAATATCTTATATTTTGACCAAGTTTTATCGGTTGACACGAATATTAGCGTTAACGCCAATATTAGCGAGTCCGAGAAGCAGAGTCGACACTGCCTTATAGTTTTAATATATATCAATTGTTTCAACGGACCACTTCAAGAATATATAATGTTGCCTAACCAAATTTATTCGCGACTGCCGCCGTGACATTTAGATGTAAAGACAACTGTTTCATTTTTGAAACTAATGACGCAAATTTCAAGTATCTGAGGAAATTTTGCTTTATGCAAACTAATCACTTTTTGAATATCCCTTTTCATTTAATAACGACAATCCAGTCTGGGACATTTTGTTTTCTAACATTTCATAATGGGAATTTTTGTGGCGCTATTATTTTGTTTATTTGGACACGTGAGTACACATATGATACTGATTTACGGTAATTAATTGCACAACCAATCAGGAAATAACTTTGTTGTGTGATTCCTTCTACAATAATCTTTTTATTGCTTTTTGCAACGTCATCAATCATCATTATTTACCAGTTCCGATCGGAACGTTATCTCCACATTTAACATCTGATGGCGCATAAACACACTTCTAGATATTTAAATGTTGACCTAAATGCTATTGATTCTGAAACTCAAATATTGAGCAAGCTGGTGCTAGGGAGAGGTTCTGAACTCGTTTTATATTGGCAAATCTCAGGAAAAAATATTTGCTTTACTATGCTTCTTCTTACTTACATTTTATCTATTGCTTTTTACTTACATTTATATCATCTAATCAGTTTCTTGTTTTCATTTGCAAACAAAATAAACCCCCTATAAACAATAATAAAATATATACATGTGCTTAGCTGATGCATCTGCAATGGCAACTTTATAACATTTTGTTTGTTTGCTAGTTTCATTTTACGCCTTTTTCCAACAGTATTTCAGTCATATAGGCGGGTAGTTTCCTAACCATCGTTCCTGGAGAGTTACACCAGTACTAGACTACCTTCCTCCGTGCTAAACATTTTGTAATAAGTTAAAACAATTATGAATACAAACTCATTTCCCCCCTTGTGGCTGAGGGGCTGCCTTTAAGGGTTGAGGCGATAGCTTATCCCTGTGTAATAAGAAGCTACTAAGTGGGTTCGAATTACTGGAGACTATACATCCCTTATGTCAAGCAAAGGAGGTGGTTTTGGCCTTGGTGTTGTTTTTAAGTTTGTAACACCCGAGGTTAGCCAAAATCGTCCTTCCAGTTTCGGCGTCATATGACTTAAAGTGTTTTTGTGTGCCATTAAAAACAAACCAAACAAAACAATTTGAAATATTATCTTTACATATATCTTTACTGATTCGTGGCTGTATTCAATTGCTTATCTATACTATATTTACATGTATATTAGTAATAGAATTGGGATTCTTTTGGTGTTTAAAGGGAAAGACAAGTTTCAAACCGCTCAAGGACCTAACCTTTTCTTGCATAGTATATTTATTATACATGCAATTTCCAAACTCTGTAATAATCTTACCCATGCAATAAGCATCGTTAGTCTTGGCTGGCAAACATAGTCAGGAAAAGTGTAATATTGTTACTGATTTATTTGTTTGTTTGCTCCTTGCTTTCTATTTCTAACATTTGTATCATAGTTTGAAGTCCTTTCTATAGAAGATGTGTCAGACATGCACAGTGCCATAACTTGAGTGCAGCGCCGTCTGTCGGGAACAAAACTAGAGCATGCTCATTGACTGGTTCATTTTTTCTTGGGGTTTACTTATTTTGGAAAGGGATAAAAATAGAAGTCATATTCAAATGCTTGTACATTAGTTTTAATATTGTGACGACATTGAACTTGCTTTTACTTTTGCCTATGATACAAAAGAAAAAGAACATCAAAATACCGGGTAATCTAATTTTGTACAAATGAGATATCTTCGTGTTTCGATGCTCTTTCTATTACTAAGTGTGCTTAAGCGTGGCAAAAAGTCAGCGTCAAACCATGACAAAGCAAATAACCACATTTTTTTTAGCATATTAACTGAATAAAAGTTCATAATTTGATATGATAACGTGACATTTGGTTTATTTTATGCAGGTGTATTGCCAAGATTTACCGGCAGAGATACAAACGACACTTCTATCACTGGTAGCAGAAGAGAGTAATTTAAGAGCGAGGCTACAAGATGAGGCTGATCTTTTAGAGAAAGAGCTTGACGCTCTGACGTCACTGAGGAAAAATGGTATTGTCGTTTGGTAAAACAAAACCCCAAAGCTAGATGCCAATGTATAACTTTTATTAAGCGTTCCATTTCCGTGTAATAAAATTGATAATATGCTCCTCTTATTTACGACGTAAACAAGTCAGTATTTCCTCATTCAACAGAGCAAATATTTTGAGAAAAAAAAGAAAGAAAAAAAACATTATTAATTATATTACTAGTGCATGTAAACAATTTAAATGTCTAGATTCGGTAATATTTCAGCAAGTTGCGGTTGCCCAGCAACGGTTGCGCCCATTGCTTTTTCTGTCACATTGAAGAATAATCTAGCAACGCTTGGAAAGGCACAAGCCATTGTTTTTGATGAAGTAAGTCTTATTTCAGATACTCTACTGAATAGCCCACCTTGGGAAAGAGTACCTAGCCCAGGCTGGCATCTTTTGCATAGTTATACATGTATTTATTGCTTAATTGACCTTTGAATCCTCCTTTTTGAAAAGATTATGCTTATTAATGAAAACGAAAAGCCTTTTTTCAGAAATAATTCATTATGTCACGGAAAGAAATCTTTTAGCACAATGTTTCTAATTATATGCTTATTTCGTACTTAAGATATTTCAGTACAATTTTGCATTTGCCTGTGTATGTGTTCAATTTTGTTTACAGATAAATCTAAATGTCGGTAACACGTACGATTCACGACACGGAATATTTACAGCACCGGTTGACGGGCCCTACGAGTTTACCTTTGCAACACTGGTACCCGGCGGTAAACAAACAGGCATGGAATTAGTGAAGAACGGGGAACCAATGGCAAAAACAGTGTCTGGGGACAACAGTTATTACACGATGGCAACAAACGTTGTTGATCTGGACCTAAAAGCAGGCACGTATGCAAGTTAATAGTTAACAGTATTATAAATTTCACCTTTTTTCCATTTAGGTGTCAAGGCAAGAAGTATAACAGAAACCTTCATCAGGTATATGTAAACAGTTTCTAAGTGCCACAGAGAAAGAAAGTCATGAGCGATTGTTGTAATATATATTTTTACTGCAAAATGAAATAAAAATAAATAAATAAAAAAATAGAATAAATACCAAGAAAAACCCCAAAACAAACAACAACAACAACAACAACAACACCACCAAAACAACAACAACACAAACCCAAACAGAACCAACAGCTCCGAAGTAAGAAATATAATTGTAAGCACGTGAAACACAAATAGTACGTGTTTCTTAAAGGCCCATTATCCCCCAGCAATACTTTTATTCTAATTACTCAAAAGCTTTTAATTTTGGTGTTCTAATATAGTATAACGTTACTCATCAGTCAATTACCTGAACCATCGTTTTCATCTGTTGTTTTTTTTTTGTTGTGTGTTTTTTGGCAATAAGAACAGTTAAAGTGAATTAGTATTTTGGATGGAAGTCAAAATACTATTTTGTTTACATTTTGCTACTTTCATGACAAATTATTTCACAGTTATCATTATTTTCTTCAAGTAACAAGCAATTAACATTCTCTAAAACTATTATTTATACATTATAGAAATCATGTTTGCCCCTTTCAAAGCACTAAAATTGTGATTATTTTTGAGTCAACATGTGACTTTAAAGTAAACATTCGACTCGCTTTTGTCTATTATATACATGTATCTGTTAAAGTGTAAAAAATGCATATATATTAATTTAATTTATCTAAATAATTTATACGTTTAAACTGAATATGGATATGTTATCTATCATACAGCCGTTGCAAAGTGCGTGCATATTTCATCAATCAAACACTTGAATATTTCATAAATTGACTTTTAGGGTCGAACAGAAATGAAACAAATTATGATATTGTTTATGATTTATCAGTAGGAATCGTTTAAATACAGTATTGTTTTTATTCACCTCTTTACCATGAGGAAAAGTATTCTGTCCTGGCACAAAAAACACCGTTTATTACATACTTATTATTGAAATGTTGAGGAATATCGATGAAATGAAATGCGAATTTTCATTTTTCTGTAACTTCAAAGTAAAAAAAAAATTTTTTCACTGTAGTGAAACAAATTTTCTGTATTTTCACTGATGTATTGCCGAACTACTTTCTTCTAAAGTCAGCTAGGCGAAATCTTTCAAAATATAATGTCAAAAAGTAAATAAATAGGAAAATGTATATAATTAAAAGAAAATTCAAGTTTTTTTCCAGTAAATAAAGGATTTATTTTCATCTTATGGTTTGAAAATTATCATATCTAACTCGTGGCTATTGCCACTCATGAACTATTTATTTTCATAACACTCGATGAAAATAAATCCTGTATTTATAGAAAAAACAACAACAGAAATATCCTCCAAAAATGTTAATATTATTACATATAGATTATTACACCATCATGGCAGCTTAGCACGATAGTCAGAAGCGAGGCTTAGCACAAGCTTTTAGCTTTCTCCTCTATTCTGATAATTTACATGTTTAGAACACCTAATAATTTCTGTATACATTTTAGTTTAGTTTTAATGTTAAATCGCTCTGTAATTATTCTTGTGTACTTTGTAATCAATTTATTGAAAATGAATATTGTTTAAACCAAATGTTAAACCGATAATATTTGTAATGTACTGTATTTTGTGAAATTACCCATGGGACCTCTTGTGCCCATAATAATGCACGTGAAATCTGAGGTTTTCCACTACTAAAAACCGCGAATAACGACATTTGATATCAGCAGCCTTAAGCTCCTTGTCCAGTCCTAGAGCAGTGAAGGGGGTAGCTGGGAAAATCGGACAATTGTCACTGAGACATTTTTTATTGGCACCATCATTATAGGTGTTATGTATGTTTAACTTGTAGTGCGGGGCATAACGCATTTAGCCGAAATTTTACTGTCTGTTTGACCCCCCCCCCCACCGAAAAACTGGTAATGGCAATTTAAAAGTCAGAATTTCCCTAGGAAAAGACCCGTTGTTACACTTTACTGGCGGCTTTTATCAAATCGCGGCTACTATCAAATCGTGGCTAAGATCAAATCAACTGAGAAGGACATGGCGGCATCTTACGGTGTTCCGTTTGGACAATCGTAACTTTTTATTTAGTCTGTACCAGCGATGCAAGATGGTACGATGGTGAAAACGCGATGGCACGATGGTGAAAACACGATGATACGATGATGAAAACGCGATGGTACGATGGTAAAATCGCGATGGCGCGATAGTACGATGGCGAAAACGCCATGTTGCATCGCGTTTTCACCATCGTAATATCGCGATTTCACCATCGTACCATCGCGTTTTTACCATCGTACCATCACACGATCGCGCCATCGTGTTTTCATCATCATGCCCTCGCGTTTTCACCATCGTGCCATCGCGTTTTCACCATCGCGCTTTCATCATAGTACTATCGCGTTTTCACCATTCACCATTGTGCCATCGCGTTTTCACCATCGTTCCATCGCGCTTTCATCATCGTACCGTCGCGTTTTCATCATCGTACCATCGTGCTTTCATCATCGTACCATCGCGTTTACAGCCATCGTACCATCGCGTTTTCACCATCGTACCATCGCGTTTTGACCATCGTACTATCGCGCCATCGCGATTTCATCATCGTACCATGGCATTTTCATCATCGTACCATCGTGTTTTCACCATCGTACCATCGTGCATCGCGGTAACAGACTAAATTAAAAGACACGACTGTCCAAACGGAACACCGTAGCAACTGACTCTATCCATGATTTGATAAGCTGACACATCCATGTTGTCTATCAGTGTGTACAAATTTTGAACTTTTCCCCCTTAAAATGATGAATGGTTCTGTCTGGATTGAAAAATAGACGAGGCCATTTAAGATAATCAGTGTTTTAAGAAAGATTAATATTTGAAACGTTTAATGATAAACAAGTACATGTTACCAAGTTCACATCCTTTTTAAGAATTAATAACACATTTCAACTACCGAAATCGGACTGAAAATATTTAAAGCAAAAATATTCCTTGCATAAATTCATGTAGCACCTTTGTTTATTTTATGTCTGACGGAAATATCTAATTTGAAATCATATGACGATGATTAATCATTCAAAAGTAATTGCATATAATGCTATCTATTCATTTGATTAAGAAGACCACTTTCTTTATGAAAATACAAGGTAAACACTGCTGTAACTTTCCAAACGTTAAGGTTACCGAAGTCAATAATTTTTTCGGCCTTTTCCGCCAATCTTCGGATTATGAATTATCGTCGAAGTGTTCCGAATGATACCGAAGTAAGACAAAAAGGGCCGAAAAGTTGCAAGAAAATGATAGCATGATAGCACACCCAGTATGTGTAATATGAACATTTATTTCAGTATATGATGTTTGTAATAACAATGTTAATAACCCGGACACAATTAACATACAGCGTTAACAAAGTGTGGATTGTTATGCTTTCATTTAAACAGATAAATACAACAATAACAAGAACAAAAACAACACCCCCCCCCCAATTCATTCAAAATCACAAAGAACTCATATTACCATTTTGTTTTACGTACATGACTGACTATCAAAATGATACATTTCTATTGATTTTATCAATATCTGAAATACTTATGAAAAATTCCCCATTGTAGACCAATCCACTTTAAAGGTTTTTTTTTGTTTTCATGTTTATAATACCATTTATATACATGTATTCATGTACATGTACATGTATTATCACACATCCATGTATGCAAATTGATAATCTCCTGTATGTTTTTACATTTATGTATTTTAATAGTTTGAATATGTTAAATTTACATTGTTCCTTGTTGAGGGCCTCATGGAAGATTGATATGTTTGTTCAAATGAGTTCTCCCGTTAAATAAAGTCTTTATTATTATTATTATTATTATTATTATTATTATTATTATTCAATATTTCAGGGGACGAGGTTTGGGTACGTCATGCCAACCAGAGTGACAGTAATTATATCAATGGAGAGTCGCACACGTCATTCTCAGGCTACCTTATAGAGGGATAAAAAATGTCGTCTGCTTATTTATCAATTTTGATAGTACACTTATAGCATTAAAGATTTAAACCTACACAAATGATGTATTTACTTGTATCAATAATAACACGACGAATATTGCCCAGTGTTATTTACTCATTATTAAAAGACCCACTATGCCTCAGTAATGCTTTAATCTTTAGTTTTCAAAAGCTTTTTATTTTCGCTGTACTTTTATAGTATCCAAAAATGTACCCATAATTTTTTTTTTGCTTTTGTTGCCGTTTGGCAATAAGTACTGTTAATGTTATTCAGTAATTCGTTAGGAAGTCATAATACTACTTTGTTTACATTTTGCTACTATTAAGACACATTATTTTACATGCATCGTGTTATAAGCATCTAACATGCTCTAAACCCATTATTTTAATGTGATGAGGTTCATGTTGGCCCTTTCTTAAGAAGTTAAAAATATTTATTAACGAGGCACCATGTGCCTTTAACATACAAAATTCTCGCTGCGGTTACTTCCCCTGATAAGATTTTAGCATGAATCACGTATGGGAATCTTTAAAAAGAATTCATGATATCCGGATATGAATAACAGATGTATATGATTGAAAGGGCTTCTGGGAGATATAAAACTGTCATTTAGAACGTTGTGCATTTAAAGAACAGTGTCTGTAATATTAACTTTTGTCATTGTCTTATTTAATATCACATCCTGTTTATGTCATAAATATAATATATTATTACCTAATTTAATAGTTTGTTAACAAATCCAATTATGAATTAAATAGAATAAATAGTGACAAATGTAAAAACCTTTGACTATCGCAAAAAAAAACAACAAAAAACAAAACAAAACAACAAAAAACACTTGATGTTAAATGAAATGGGGTAACTGAATGTGGCGTCAACCCCTCACAGTTTCTTAATCAACTGGTCAGTATTATTTTCACTAAAAATAGTAGGATGTTGTATATATTTTTATTATTGTCAAACAACGTTCATATTTGCCCTTTCTAAAGAAGTTAAAAATATTCATTTTTAGGCACAGGTTTACTTTATGCATATTAGTACTGTCAGAATGTGCACGATATAACAAAAGTTTCGTCTGGATTTGGAAAAAAACATTTATACGTTTTGAAACTAATTAATATAGATCTAGTTCTGTGACTTTAACCCATGTCACGTTGTTTAAAGTCAATAAAAATCAGGTAGATTTCCACTTCATATTTCTTTTTTTTTTCAATAGCTTGCCAAATATGATATTAGCTAAACAATTAGGAAAATTAACCCATCCCTATACCGCGACGATAACGACTTGTCAACATTCATAAATATTTTAAGTATTCTGGTTCCCATGTATAAATACGACTCATAAGCATGAAACAGGAAACCAGCGTATTTGACCCGCTGTCCGTGAACTTACCGTGACGTTAATTATTCACGTGACTATCCGGTTGGGGAATTCCGACCGATACACACCTGTTTATAAACATTGCAAAATATTGGATTTACTACAAATATATAAGCAAACACTGATTCTGTTTTAAGATCATTGAAAACGCAAATATGAAATGAACAGTTTACTGTGTACTGTTTTCACGTAGTAATATTGTGTTTAACGATTTAAACTACACAACATTTATTTAGTCTCCAACTGTATTTTTAGTTGACCTACTTTCAACAATCGGCAAGCAAGGTAAGAATTTTCTTTCATCAATACATATAAAAGTACACGTTTATCCATTGTTTATATATGTTCACATCGAACTTTATAATGTCTGCGTATTTACTGATATCGATAAATTATCCAAGCTTTGAGAGTTTTGATTTAGCATCAAAATCTATACTTACAGAATGTATTATGATAATAGATAACGTATATATATGTGTATATTGTACAGTAGTTAATCAGGTTATATAAGCAGTCTCAGAGTAGTCTTCAGACTCGGTGTACTCTCACTTTGTGAGGCGTTTGTAAACCCTCAGTAACTAAGTTCATCGCAACATAACATGAATGTGGCATTTGTGCTAGATATAAATAGTTTTAATTCAGTTTATACATGAATTACCCCCCCACACACACACAAAAAAGTTAAATACCAACACATTTAAATATTGCGACTCGATTTATGTGGATATTGAATCAAAGTATTAAAGTGTATGATTGAGACAGGTACTTAGCTTTGTTAAAATGTTAAAATTAAGTGAGATTTGACAAGGGTAGGAAGAATGTGTGTATGTGTCCGTGTAATGGGCGTGTTTTAAAGTACATGTGCGAGGTGTAGCTAGTCTGCTAGGACACGCTTCACCACGACACGACTGTTACTTGAAAATGGTGTGTCAGAAAAGATATGTTAATGTAGATACATTTATTTATTATTGGACCATTTCTGTCATTGATCAAAACCGAAACAAAGTGGAGTCAGTAAGTGGGCATACTTCTGCACTAGCCCAACAAATTGTGCGCTTTAGGCTTTTTATGATATAGGCGAAGGTCGACCATCGCAATGTATGGTTTAAAACAACAAATGAACATGCCACAGTGTGAAAATTTTCATGTTGCAGTGAAAAAATGAAATTTAGATCAGTTCGATTTCCGACACAGTTTTGAATCTAACTGTTTGAGACGTAAAGACAGACATCTATGTGTAAAGTCGAAATATTGAGACTAAATAATGCACAAATCGAGGAAGTGAAAGTTGTGTCCAGTGCATGAATACACTCACGTTTTATGTACATAATGTAATTATTTACTGGTAATAAAATCATCCCATCGATCCAGTTGGTACCAATTGAAATATCAGTTTAATGATCAAGTTTATATGGATATTCACGGTATTTACTTTTATTTATTTATTTGTAACATATTTTACATACTTTGTGGCCATGCGCGACTGAGCATGGAACATGTTTACAAACAAATTTGAGCCGCGTCACGACAAAACCCGACCAGCATGGATCCAGACCAGCCTGCGCATCCGCGCAGTCTGATCAGGTTCCATGCTGTTCGCTTACATACTCTATAACAAGTAGAGAAACTGATATTTATCATTTATCAGTAAAAGCATCAATATGTTAAATGTAAATTTTGTATGCAATAGAAAAAACCTCCTTCAACTTTTATGAGATAAATTGGAAAAGGTGAATGCCCCGGAATAATTCATTTTCACGTATTTTATACATTTTCTTAGATTTTTCATTTGCAACGAAAGAAACATTGACACAATATAGAATCTATGTAATTATTTTTACAATTATATATGAGACACATACGTTAAAGTTGTTTTTACTTATCTAACTGACATAAATATCTATATGTTTGGTTTATACGGGATATCAATTGGCGGACAAAATCACATTACTGAAGCATTTGCTGAAAAATTGCCTTTTTTCTTTTAGATAAGTTTAAAATGATATAAAGAGCCCACAGATACCTGTTTAAACTCAATCAATACAAATGTACAAAAGGTCATTGGTTTGTTTCAATATTAAGGTAAACACCCTGAAGGAAGATATAGGTCACAAATCGGCCACCGTGATAAACATCAGTATGTATACCTCAATCCTTGGTTTTCTGATATTTTAAAAACCCGTTTGGCTTCTTATTTGGTAAAGATATCTTGGATACATAAATATATACACGCCAAGACTGTAAAAATGTTAAAATATTTAGGAAAAAAGTTTTAAAGCTGCATTAAATAAATATGTAAAAAAATTTTGCCGTCGGTCTAATAGATACAGTTTCATCAACCTTTTAAACAGTATTGGTGTACGTCTCATCAAATAATGTTCATAAATTACGATTTTAAACGGAAAACCCAACGGTAACACTAAATTTCGTAAACGAAATTGAATGAAGACTATACTCAGCTCGTGTATGCGGTACGTCACAGTGTTATAGTTGTTATCCGAACACACCAAATATAAGATTTTCTTGTGCAAACACACTTTAACCGTTTGAGCTTCACGGTGTCCAGAAAAAAAAGGTAATCATATCATAAAAAAGATTAAATTTGTATGAAAACATCCGTTCCAATGTGGAAATATACCGTTAAATTAGGACTGCTACTTGTAGCCATGTATGTTGATTTAATATTGATGTACGGATGACCTGATGACCCGAAGGCGGAGTTTCTCATGCAAATAGAAGTTGTACTCCCGATTTCGCAGCAATAAAGTTGCAAATTTTATAAAACTCATTTTGGTTGTCTTGACACCAAAATAAGAATCGAAACCGATATGAAACCAAATTTATTAATGAAATGTCGCTATTTCTGTTTTTATAAAATTTATTCAATGCAGCTTTAATGTCACCCGGTCTCATGGGAATGTCATGATATGCGCATGTGAACATTTTACATTCAGGCCTGATATTGCAGAAAACACACTGATGTGTTTGCCATTTTGAGTTCTTAGTATTTTTTTCATAATAGATGATCCTACACTTCGGCAATGGACAATCTCAATACATTTATCATGACCTTTAATAGGTTAATAGGGTCATTATCTGAGCCAATAAACCCTTCGCTTGCTGCCGGCAACATATTCCCCCACCCCCGGGCGACACGTCTGGCAGTGGCAACTAATATGAGATCAGTTTTTCTTTTAAGGATATAGCTCTACTATGTAAAAAAATATAAAGGATGTGCGTTTTTATACGGCGTTTCAATTTATTTTCTTCCGATATTAAAACCTGTGTTAATTTAAAATATAAGTTTAAAATACATTATATAACAAAAAGATAGAATCAAACAGCAAAAACAGTTGAAAAACTCAAGTTTCTAAAATAGATTCATTATCTAAAATCTGCATTTTATGATAATAATTTATTAAGTAGTTATTCTTCCCCAGAACTTGCATTTTACAATAGATATTGCTCGGACATTTATATGTTATTTTTCACATTAAAAGAGAAGTGGCAGTTGATGAGAATTTTGCATGTTTACAATATGTGTTGTTTATTTATTTAAAATCGATAGACTGTGAAAATTTTTGCAGGCAATTTTTGATGACTTGAGATGTATAAACTGTAAATTATATTTGGGGTTTCAATTTCTTAGCATTCAATTTTTGTAACATAGGCCAGTCATGATAAAACTTGTTTCAAAAACCACAAGAAGGGTTTCACTAAACTCCTTATGTGGCCCGTAGCAAGTCATAATTGTTTCCAGTCTGATGCATAACTAAGTCAAAAGAGCTAAAAACTTTAGTAATGAAATGTTAAAAATATTCTTCTCACAAACTACCTCGTCCAGCGTCAGATATGGCATGAATCATCACCTAATGATCTAGTCATGTTCCATAAGTCAATATGATATTGGCCTCGCCCCGGGGATCACTTAATATATATAAAACTATATATGACAATTATTTTTCTTTTGTGAAACAGAATTGAATAGAAAACAGATTCTTGAATACTAGGGCCAAACATTGCACTTCCACGGAGTCACTTTGTTTGCCTAGACTTTTATAGCAATCATGTCAAAAAGACCTTCTTCTCAGAAACTATATCAGAATTATTGCTGTTTTAGTGCCCCCCCCCCCCCCACCTCTCTGCATCCGCGCATGTAATCTTTTTTGGTGGTTATTTGTAACGAAATACATTCCTATTTCTTTCCAGGTCATAAACCATGCAGAACAAGCACGCCGCTGGTAAATTAAAGTTTCATGTCGATCTATGCGAACAAGCTTTGTGCCAAATAGAATTCCTGAGAGCGGTTGACCTTATTCAGGATTTGAAGAAACAGTCTGTATTGAGACGTGCAGTCTACCGATATGAAAAATACTGGCTTCCACTGGCCATAAAATACCCCAATAGGTGCTTAGCTGCACCTCTGGATATTGAATGGGCATGGCATTGTCATATGTTATGCCCCAAATCCTATGAAATAGATTGCCAAACTATTGTTGGTGGGACTGTTGATCACACGCTACGTCGGATGAACAAGTTTCAAGAAGAGCAGAAAGCGTCACAGAAACTTTGGTCGGAAATGTATGCAGGGGACCACGAACCATTCACAGTTGATCACAGTGTACCATACAATGTTGATGCCGTTGATAACTTTAAGTCAAAGATAACATACGACATTGTGGCCGCTGCCCAACGACAGATGGTGTTTTACTATCAGGTATCGTTACCACACTACCGAGATAAAAAGTATTTGCAGAATTGCCTGCAGAGATATAAACAGTTCTTGTATTTGAAAACACAACTGCCGAAAGCTTTCATGGTACCATGTTACGACATAGATTTGATGTGGCACACACACCAGCTGAGTCCATTAGTCTACAAAAAAGATATGGTTAAGATCATTGGCCACTTGTTTAATCATGACGATTCGGTAAACGATCGTAGTGAGGGATCAAAACTAAGTGAAGCAGACAAACACACACGTGACAGCTGGAAAAACTTTTACAATGAAACTTATTCTCTGTTTGGAGCAATGTATCGTGGAACGCCTCCGGCGGGATTTCTGTATAGAGTTAGTCCGAACGAGTCGTACACTTTTTGTACCAAGAGCACTATTATCACATTTGAAAATTTAACTTTGAACCTTCCCTCAACGGATCCAGATAAATACAAGAAACTTCAATTAACCGTGTCGAGCGCCGCTGGACCGAAGGTTGTGCGAAAATGGGTATCATTAAAACGACCGGGTGATGTACCAAGTGGCGCCAGAACGATTACCTGGAAAAATGTTGGTCGAAATGAACTGGACACGAAGGAAACCAACAATATAAATTTCTGGGTGCAAGAAAGAACAGGCTGGGCATTTTGTGGGTCAAAGACAGATGTTGGATCGAACACGTTAAATATGCTGCCACAGATTGAATCGATAGCGAATGCGGCCAACGGTGGAAGAATTAATGCTCAGATACCTCTAGGTAGCTCGAACATAACTCTAGATGTTCAGGGACAATTTTCGGCACCTAAAAAGGGGAAGGCATTGTTGTTCTTAGACAGTGGAAGATATGAAACTGCTGTAATACCGGAGAATGTGAAACAATTATGGGGTCCTGTGTCTCTTGAAAGACTTCCGAGAGGGACAGATAACCGCTGCCAGGTGGCATCTCACAGGTATTCTTGATGTTGTTTCTGTTTTATAATCATTGAAATTTTTATAAAGAATAGATTGCATATGATAACATTTAAACAGATATGGACAATTTAACATCTGCTTGTAATGCGTAAAACATTTCTGTTAATATCTGCATGCTAGTTGACGAATTTTGTTCTTTTCCATTTTGTTTATATTTAGGGTCGGCGGTGACTATCTAGCCAGTTTTCTGAACGTCTATGGTCCTACTAAGGAGGCCGATCGTGTCTGAAATAAAAACGGAGGGACGTCCGAGGTCTTCCTAATAAGTAAAGCTGGAAGGGCGCACTGTGATGTTGTGTTAGTGCACAAAACAAAAAATATCATTGTAGCATTCAAATGCTACTTATTGTGGATGTCACCTGTTTCTTACTTTGACACATGTCGGTAGTTTTGCATTACAGATAGAGTCATAGAGGTCAACAAAAGAAATCTATCAGTTGCTGAACCATTATATCTTTCACATGGTTGACAAATATCGACTGCGTCTGCAGCTGCATTCTTTTTCTTTTTTAGATTGAAGAATCATCTAGGGAATGTAGAGTTCACAGCAAGGACCATACACAGTCAGCCTTTGATGATGTCGGTGATACAGGTGTACTATCACGATAAAATGTCGGTTATTGGGCATTTAATAGCTTCAGACCATCTTCCTCTTCCATCACAAGTAAGTGATTTAAAACATCATCTCACACGCTTCACATTATTCCCCGATCAAGCAGATAGGACAATCAAGTGCATTATTAGTGATTAGTTGATATTTTAGAAATTTACAACAAAATGTACTTGTTTACAGTTTGTCTATGCTTTTTGTGTGTAAATGTTGCATTAATTTAAAATCTCAAATTACTGGATTATGCAGATCACTAAAGTGCATTTCAAACAAAACAACTATTTGAAAATCGTACACTCTGTTTTATTGACAGTCTTTTAATTTGGCAAAGTGAAAAGTGTAACACGACTCACGCCCAGTAACGGTTTACATTTTCATTGATTTCTTTAAAGAATCTAAACAGAATACTGAAATTTTTAAAACCAGTGTCATTTGTATACCTTAGCTTAATAATAAGGAGACACAAGAACAAACCTTTTTGTATGTTTGGTACCTATCTTCAAATGTAAAAAAAAATATATATAGATATTGGATGAACTCGGGCGCTTTCAATTGGTTGGCTCTTGTCGATTCTCTGCGCATGTCCAGTTTCGGTGATCGTCAGAACATTGGCTCAACAGAGTGATGGTTCGACCGGAGTAAATTTCTGGCGTAGCTATCTAACCCTTATAAGTTTTTGCGTTGTCCAGTCGAACAACTGTGACCATAGTAAGCGCCCGAACCATGCTATTATATACAAAGAGGCAGGTAATTCAGATTAATGTTTTTGTTTGGTTATAGGTTCAGCATGATGTTGTTACTCTAAATCCTGTACTGGGAGAAAGAGCCGTTCTTTTGAAAAACAATGATGGTGACTGGGGTATTCTGACCGGAAGATGGAAGGGTTTTAAACGAGGTGTTGCTGGGACTAGACGTATGTACATGTTTAAAATAAAATAAAATCCTTAACTAGTTTAGCCTTTATGATTCGAAAACTTTTTAAAACAGATTATTTTCTTCATTTTTTATATACCAACATTGATATCTTAGGTTTCATGGACCATGAAATATTCACTTTTTCATTTCACTAAAATTTTATTTATATTTTTACACTTAAATTTTATTCACCTTTTTACATCTTAAATTTCCTGAAATTTGTTGGGACCAGATGGTTTAATCTACTGATATTTATTATATCCCGGAAGCAGATCTTCGCCCATCATTCTGCAACTTTCATATCCTGAAATATGTAAAGAAAATACGATTTCCTCATTGAATTTGTTGAATTTTTTTTTTTAGAAAAAAGAGGAGTTGCTGGGAGTCCGGGGACTCTATTTTTGAAGTTTTACAAATTTTCAACTGGCAGAATAACCACGATTGAGCTGGGATATCTTAGGAAAGAGTATGTTTTCAATTTAGAATCTGCTTCGATTGACCTTATGAAAGGTATACTGAATATCGACTCCTCAAGTAATGAAGTTGCGGAAAACATTGCCCTAGCATTTTCGGTATCTTTGCTTCACGTGCTGTGCGTTCCAAGGCCAAAAGGATGGAGAGAAGGCCAACAAGTTAAACCCACCACTTCAACTCGTGGAACAAGACCAATAACTACCATTCCGTCGGACGACATGGCATTTATCATGGCCGCAGGCTTGCTTTGGAGTACCCCGTCGAATTATTACATGCATTCATACTACGGAGCACATATATGTGCTATGTGTGGAGGCGGTGGTGGTGGTGTGATGGAGTTTTCTGGTGCAGACTATGGAATTGACGGTGACACAGGTGTAGATGCTGGCTGTGACGGTGCTGCTTGCGGTGGTGGCGGGGATGGGGGAGGGGGTGATGGCGGCGGATGCGGGGGTTGTGGTGGTTGCGGAGGCTGTGGTGGGGGTGGTGGATGTGGCGGAGGTGGAGGATGTGGTGGGGGAGGGTGCGGTGGTGGATGTGGGGGTGGATGCGGAGGTGGGTGTGGTGGTTAAAGTTATTAGCATAAATACCTCCATGACAAAATGTTTTATTTTTGTTATCAGCTATATTTGTTTCCGTATCTTTGACTTATCTTGTCACTTTTCAGGATAATGTCTGTTTATACGTAAGGTTGTTTGACCATCAGATATTGTATATGTTTTAATATATAAGACGGCCTATACAAAATGCATCACATAAGAAAAGCTGTAATCATTCTCAAATTTACATTTTTGTATAATTGATGGAATTAATTGTATACATATAAACTGTATAACTATTTATAACAAAAAAACTTTGAACAAATAATTGCGAAACAAATACAAGAACAACACACAGTTCTGCAGAATAGATTGATTCATAGATAATGTAGATTTTTCGGTTTTGGTTTTGATAAAGTCATAAAAGTTTTTGATAATTTATATGGCCTAGAATAAACAGTAATGAATTTACATAACAGCAATCGGTAGATGGGTTTTATGGCAAATTACTGTTTATAAATACGGCAATATAACTTGTCAAAAAAAATTGTGATAAAATTATATTACTGCACCATTGCTTTCTTTGATTAAAAAATAGATAATTATAGCCTCTTTTATACATTGTATAATTGTCACATTGATCAATGGGTTTTGTATAAATGTTAAACTGTCAAAATTATTTTGTATAAAATTAAAGTAATGTTGTCCCTGGATTTTGTGTTAATGTCACAATGTCCCGTTTTGTATAAATTTCATGTTATCTTATGAATTTTGTGCAAATGTAGCGGGGTCAAAATAAGTTTGTGTAAATGTAACGTTATCCATTAAATTTTGTATAAACTTCACATTGTTCATTTAATTTTTTATAAAATTAATGTCACATAGATTGTCTACTGAAAATTGATGTTGCGAACATGCAGTTTTATTTGTATGCAATTAAATATATGATTACAGTTTGGCTTATATGTATATGTATATAATAGTTTCATGACATATATTTTATTTCCAAATTGTATACTTTTTCTGAAGAAATTTTTTTATTGAAAGTGCACTTGCCAGTAACTCAAAATATTGTTGGCAGATATTTTTGGGAAGGAGATAGTTTTCCCAGACCACATAAATGTATTTGTGATTGACACAGGACACTTACATACAATATCTAGGAGTTCCATGTATAATCTACCCGTTGTGTCACTCTGTTTTAGAGACCAATATTTTTATTGTTGCTTAGAGGTGTTGCTCTATCGATGTTAAGATTATTGTGAACTGTTCTGGGATGAATTGATACTGACGTTATAAAGAGGTTATGGCTGTACATAGGGCAGCAGCCCTGATGAGATTGCACTGTAATTTTAATCAAAAGTTTGTATTTTTGTAGTGTGTCATCATTTAATGTATTTAGAATCTCAGGATGTTGAATTATCTTTGGTTATGTTTTTGTATTTTTTGTATGCATTTTTATAGTTTTTATTCAATGTTTCTAAATAAAAAACGCCTCTTTAGTTTGGCATGCAAAACATTGAAATTACATCTATTAAAGAACTTAATATTGGTTTTAAATTCATATAAATGTTGATTACATAAACTCGAGGTTTGATTTAGTTTAAGATTTGATTTAAATTGTTTTGTTTTTGATGTTACTGTTACATGGGTACATTGATACAGGGTTTGATTTAGATGTAATTGTTGGGCATCAATTTTGATATATTTATTTAAGGTTAGTGTTATATGGATACAGGAACACTAAATAAAAAAACTGTAAATTTAAGGTTTGTTTTTTATGTTATATTTATTTTAAGGTTTGATGGATTTGCTACTGTTATATGGCTACGGTGACTCAATTTTTAATTTAAAAGTAACTGTTATATGGATGCATTGATACAAAACACTGTTTCTTGTTCTGGTTTGTTATCTTTTTGAAAAAGCAAATATGGATCTGAATTTAAAGTGAAATCGTTTTAGGAATTTCCTTTTTTATCAGAAAGTTTAATAAGTTAACTATGTTTATAATACCAAACAAACTTTTTAAGATATATGAGTAAACGTTATTTAAGTCCAGATAATGATATGTAATGTAAAACCAAAAACATAAATACTTTGCAAGTAATGTTTACCAGGATTCTTGAGGATCGTATTTTGCGTGTGCATTTCTTGGTGTTATTTTCCCTATGTTGGATGGGTCGTTTTAATAGATAAGACTTTGGACCTTACATATATATATTTGTGTTAACAGTTTTAAATATATTTATTTTGTATGTTATTTTAAATAATTACTTGTTTGACAAATCGTCAATTGCTATGACGTGATTTTTCTGAAATCCATTTCGACTTCATTATTTTTTCTAAATTGATTTAGTTATTGTTTGTAGACATCATTTCCATGACATTGTCACGGTATTTTTGTTAAAGCAGCACGCCTCCAGATTTTTGCAGATTTTCATAAAACAAATAAAAATATATTTAAAAGTAAAATATCATGAAGTGAACAGAGAAAGTAATTTACGCATTGCAAACTGCTCTTAAAATCCACGTATATAACACATAAGTGGTCAAAATATGCAAACTAACCCTTACTTCTTTAGTCATACAGTAGAAAAAAAGGATGATAAATATTGCAAAGTCAGTCAGTAATCAAAGGCAACATAAAATATAAAATCATAACTTGAATATTGAATCATTTTCTTGACATATTTTTTCATCTAGAGGCATGCAACTTTAAGACATATGTTGTTTATTGTACATGTATAATATAAGCAAGACGTTTTATATTTTCTTTCTTTTATTAAAACTTATTATGTAAGTAAAGATATGCATGTAGAGTACACTGACAGGACTGACAGCAATGTCATGAATTATTCCCTTCGTTTTTGTAAAAATGTATTTGCTTTATAAATATAGAATATTGAGATATATTTACATGTCACAATTTTTATGACAATTTTGAGCATCATTTTATATACATGAAGTAAAATATCTGAATATTTATTGTACAAATTGTAAATCTTTTAGAAAACCAACACATATTTTAATGTTTATTTTAGAGATATTGTCCTATAGTGCTAAAATTTGTTTTGGTGGTTTTGGTGCAAGTTAGAGAGGGTGGGCGAATTTTTGTACATTTAACATTACCTCATCGTATGTAGAAAGTTACGAGATTTGTTTGGTTAAAAGTATTTAATGCTTTATATCTCCATTATACGTTAATCAGAATTTGTGGTGTTTCTAGTTTATGTATCTTTGTAACCTTAAACATTTCTTAAATGGAATTGCCCAGCTTCCATTGTTGGAACTGACCATTATCAAAATTGGGGATGCTAAGAAGAAAAATTAGAGTTGAGTATAGCCCATATTTGCAGTCTGACCCAGCTCTATACTAATGGCAATGGCTAAACGATGATAAGGGTTTGAGGAACATTATCAAAATGTTAAACAGAACTATCATGTCACAGATGAGAAAAATGTGCCACCTGACCGACACTCGAACTCCGGACCCCTGAAATAACGTTCCGTGGCTCTACCGACTGAGCTGTCCGGTCGGTGACACATTTTCTCCCCTAAAAGAGAGCAGTTATCATATTAAGATACATAAATAATCAATGGTTAAAAAACATAATTAATCCACCTATTAATAGCCATTGACTTTTTCAAAAAGAAAAGAAGATCATGTTGCAACATTAGCATTTTTATTTCTTACACAAGAAGGGAATTGTATTTTGTTTTCATACACTGGGTAGATTTTTTTGATTACATTATTTTTTTAATTTGTAGTCTTGAATAAAAGATTTCAGACATAAAGATTTGATCAAACATATTTTAAAGTGTTGACTGAAGTCTTAGAAACAACATTATTTTTTTTTATTATTATTATTAAATGAGTGTTACAACTATAGAGATATATATAATAATATTGTATTATTGCAAAATTAGATTTTCAACTTTGTATTCTGCACAGAAAGGTTCACAACTCTTGTAAATGAGACAAATATGCTTGAGACAGTGGTTGAATAATGCTGGTCATTGTATTATTTTGGCTCATGACTTTATTTAATGAAAAAACAGTGAGTGGCTTGAGGAGTTTCTAATATTACTTTACAACTTAATTACTGAAACAAAAAGTGATAAACCATTGGCACCAGTATAGTTCCAGATCAGTCAACATGTCTGTACTATCTGGCCAGCTTCTATATATTGTGTTAAGCACAATCTTTAATATCAATCTATAAATGAAATTCCTTCAAATTTAAATAAACTGTTCCAATTTTAAAGCAACGTAATTGCATTACAAATCTCAGCAGAATAAGGATAAGTGTAAGTAAATCAGCTCAGACCGCTCATTAATATGGCATACAGAATAAAATGGCTATTTAAAGTTTTAAATTACAGCTGTGCATTTAAGTCGTATTTTTCATTTGCAAAATTCTTTAAATATTGACAATTTTCTATGAAAATTGACAATCTTGTATAGTATTTGCAATGTTCAATGAAAACTGGAAGAAAACCTTGTCATGTAGCTTGATATGCATGAGTTAGTACCAACATATCATGAAAGAACGAAGACATTTAATAAATCTAGAAGATTGAAAAGATATACATTATAGAGACCTTAGAGGAGCCATACTGGGATATTTTTAAGGAATAGTTTATGTATAACTTCTTGTAACTGTGACCATTAAGAAATAGTTTAAGGGCAATGTTTGTAAACTTACATGTATTTTACGCTTTGGCATTCTGATTTGATTGGTTTTTATTCACTGTTTCCTTTCGCTCTGTGATAGTCAGTTTATTACTATATCGCTTTTTACATTATTTTTACAATAAAATCACCATGTGTAAACTTAAATTGTTGTCTCTCGTTTAACTCATTCTCTTTCAATGAATTGTTTGATTAAATAATAACAATATACCTGCGATATGTCGACCTTTCATTATAATTTTGGGAGACATATTGTTTTTGCCTTCGCCGTCTGTCTGTCCATCCGCACTATCGAATAGGAATAAGGGGGCATCTAACTGTAAACAGAGCAAAAGAGAACAATATAATTTATTCCGTAACGGCCATGGCCCTCTACTAAACAAAAGAAAATAACAATAGAAATTGCCCTTTATCCCAAATTGGTCGAATGTCCGTCCGTCTGCATTAAGCTTGTCCGGCCTTCACAGGTCAAACTGCTAGTGGGATTTCAACCAAACTTTCCAGGGTTGAGCAGTACCATCCCCAGTTGTGCATATCACCGCTTCGCTGCACGAAAAGGCTGCCAGAGCTAAAAACAGAAAAATCTTGTCCGGCCATTACAGGTCAATCTACTCGTGAGATTTCAACCAAACTTTACAGGATCGTTAGTACCATCCCTAGTTGTGCATATCGCCGGCCATTCCGTTGCGTTGCAGAAAATGGCCACCAGAGCTAAAAATAGAAAAATCTTGTCCGGCCTTCACAGGTCAAACAACTGATGGGATTTCAACCAAACTTTACAGGAGTGATCAGTACCATCCCTAGTTGTGCACATCGCTGGCAGGTTCTGCTTCGCTGCGCAAAATGGCTACCAGAGCTAAAAATAGAAAATTTTGTTCTGCCTTCACAGGTCAAACTACTGGTTTGATTTAAACCAAACTTTACAAGAGTGATCAGTACCATCCTTAGTTGTGCACATCGCCGGCATGTTCTGCTTTGTTACACAAAATGGCCGCCAGAGTTTAAAATAGAAAATCTGGTTGGGCTTTTACAGGTCAAACTACTGGTGGGATTTTAACCAAACTTCAAGTGAGTGATCGGTACCATCCATAGTTGTGCATATCGCCGACATGTTCCGCATACATTGTTTTGGGAGACATATGTTTTTGTGACAAAGACCCTACTAGTTGTAGATTGATTTAATACCAGCGTCATCAATCTTATAACAGCAGTAAATAAATCTTGGAAACATTTTGTATTCAAAGAAGGTTTGCCATCTTTACACAATTAACTTCCCATAAATTTGCAAGCCTTAAAAACCATGGTGACCGCCGTGACCGAATGGATATGGTGTCTAACATGGAATCGTTTGTCAATGAATGCTTTGGGTTCGATGTCTGTAAAAGATCCAAAGAAATTCTTACAAGTGAGACATCTGTCCAACTGTGATAGATAAATTGTTTAACATGATTTCTTGTCCATGTCTGTAATAAGGTACCCCGTCGCCAGTAAAGCCTGGTCGTGTCAGTTTCACATGAGGCAATACAAATTTACGTAAAACATGCATATATACTCAAGCACACACACTTACACACACAAACACCCAAATATACATACGCATGTACTTAATGAACAAATCATTATAGTTCAAACTTATCGTTCTCTTTTCTTCTTTTTCTCAGTTTGCTTTATCGGTACAAGTAAATACCGAAAAACAGGTTTGTTATATTTGTACAATGTTTAAGAAAAAATCAATGATTCACCAAAGTCGAGTATTAACGATTTTGAAATAACGTATTTTCGAAACGATTTCAAATAATTGAAGTTTAAGGTGGTTTCTAAAACTACGTTTTAGATATACAAGGTAAAAAATGCGGAAGAGAGACCATGCAATTATGTCAGTGTTTTTTGTCAATTTATTTAATTTAATTTTTTTTTAAATATATTCAAAACACACAGTATTTCGATAAAATATGTTAAAATATAAATTCACGAAAATGTTATATAATTGATCAATTTCATACCAGTTTAACCCGGTTTCTTGAAGCATAATTAATTAATTAATTTAATCAATTAAAATTTCTTTTTTCTCTTCGTTGGGAAAGGGGTATTGGCCCGTAAGAGGAAGCAAAAAAGTGCGGTGTCGTGAAGAGGGGATTTTTCTACTGTGGTTATTATGCAGGCTTTAATTCAGAGCTGCATCAGTACTAAGGGTGTAGTACTTAAGTACCAGTACCAGTACTTGGCAAATTATGCAGTACCATTACCAGTACCAGTACTAGATTTTAGCTCGGTACTGCAGTACCAGTA